GTCTCAATTAGGGTTTTCTAAGTTCTTACGTTTACGGCTACTCTTCTTGTAACCAGTTCAACGCAGATTCGGAATAAGAACCTTCTTGCTTTCAAATCTCTCTTATTTTCGTTTTTATTCTAAGTATTTTAGTCATCTTAATCTTTGTTGTGCGGTTCTCGCAGATAGCCGGTTCCTCTGGAAACTTAGGGTTTTTCCCAAAGTTTCCTTATTTACGATTTATTTGACAGTAGGGTGAAATCGACTCCCACAATCATCCGATTTTCTGGGGAAATGGAAACCAAAACTAGAGCTTTACCGATGAATGCATCGAAGTCGGGCTTTCGTGCTTCAATACTCGCTTTGATGCTCTCTAAGCTGTGACCTCTTTCAGCCATGTCCCTCTAGATTTTCCAAGCGAATTTGACCTCATTGCTAATGTCTAGGTAGATACTGAAGTCCAATAAGTCTCTTACTCTTTCATCAAACCTTCACATACAGATAATAACTGTTATTATAAAAAGAATATTAATGACCGAAACTATAGACTAAATTATTCAAATGTTGTTTAATCATTGTCAAACTGTAAGAGACTTCATGCAATAGGTTCAAATATCCTTTACTTTTGATTCTGATCTAAATCCAATATTTTTAACCATCCAAATTCCGAGAAGAAAAAAAAAAGAGACTTCAAACATATGCCTGAGAGACAAAAACAGAGTACGAGTAGTCTACTTACATTGGGTGAAGACCTTCGATGACGAGAATCTTGGGAGGCTGAATAAGCTCAGGGGCATCAAGAAGTCCAGTGACGTGATTATAAATGGGTTTCTCGACGGCGATACCACTCTTAAGAGCTTTGACTTGCTCATACATGAGATCAAAGTCATTGGCACGTGGGTCCAAAGCAGTGACTCCTTTCTCTTTGCGACCAGTTCTGTCTAAGGAATGGTAATCGTCGAGACAGATCACAGTGGTCATGTCACTGATAAGTGTGTTGGAGTCAGGGTTCCCTCCTTTTGGTGGCTCGGCGGCACCACCGAAGACACTGGTCAGCCTCCGCATGAAGGTACTTTTGCCGCATCTTGAGTCGGCGGCGAGTCCGATCACGACGGTTTGTTGTGCGGCGCAAGTGATGATTGTGTTGAATCTACGGTTGGTTTAGGACTGATGACTACGGTAGAAGAAGACTTGTTTTGAGGTGGAGGAAGAAGTAGACGAGCTCAAGAAATGAGTTGAGTTGAGAGCTTGTGTTGAGTAGATTGTTGAGACAGCCATTGTTGTTGATGCTTGGTTCCTCTTTCTCTTCCTCTTCTTCTCCGCGCCTAAGCTCTCTGCTTTGGTTTGAGTGATGAGGATTAGGATAGAATGTAAGAAATGTGGATAACGAGTTTTGATTTATGGGTTGTTGTGTGGTGATATGAAGAGATAAATAAGAGGAGGAAAACGGGTCTAAAGGAAACAAATCGCAATTCACAAAGAAGAAAATGGGTTTTGTTTCTTATCTATTTAATGTGGTTGTGTAATGAGTGGCTCATGTTTTGGTTTCTTGGAGTAATATGCTTTGTAATGTTGTTATTAGTCTCTTTGTCAAGATAATTGTTGATAATATAGAGGATAACAAAACATTTCTAGCCACATATAAACAATCAACATTTTGTTTACTTCATATGTTCTTTGTTTGGCTTGGTTTAGATTCGGGTAATGGTACTTGTTTAAGTTTTAGAGAGTGGAGTAGCCGATGAAGTGATACAACCAGAACAGGGCATGGAGAGACGGCATGGTGATTATTTGCTTACTTTTGAGGTTTCGGATATTTGAATTGACACGTGGGTTAATCTAATTGGAGTAATGTGGATTATGTGTTTATGGTCTGAAGTTGAATGAGAGTAAAATGAGAGTATATTATGTGGATCCCATTGTCATGTCCCGTAGATCCCTTGGCTACGAATCTTTATTGCCTGCAATTATCTTACGTTTGTTTCATTAATTTCTTCTCTAGGACCAAAAGTAAGCCATTCAACTTTTCTTCCCATTCGCCTCAATCCACATAAATTTCATATTTCATCAAAATTCAAGTACAAATAATAAAAAGGGTCAAATAGGTGTATATAAACAGAATAAGATAATTACTATTTTAACTGACGCCAAAAAAAAAAACTATTTTTTAACTTGTATTACAACAAAACTATTGATTGGGGTGTGATTTAAAAATACATCTGCATATGTAACAAGTTCACTGCCATTATGCACTGATAAACAACAGAATCATAAATTGAGACCGAAGTGAGTTTAGACTGGTAATAATTTGATGGCTATTTTGTCTTCAAAGGTAAACTTTGTCAACAAAATCCCAAACGTTCGAAGAGACGATACTGGTACTAAAGGTATTACAGACGAAAAGCAAAACAGAAATACAGCTAACTACAGAATTTACCTCAACACAATATTTCAAACCTTTTTCCAAAAGGGATCCTCTCTTCCTTCTTTTTACTTGTTCCCCCTAAAGTAGAGGTAAATTTTCTGCAAGAAACACGAGATGTTACCCGTTCGATTAGCAAAACCCCTTGCGGTTAACAGTTGTTAGAAGCCATGTAGGGTATGGTCAGAGGCTTACCTGAAGAACCCATAGACTCAGAAGTGACTCCAAGCAGAAGAGACCAAAGCCGATAAAGTAGAAGATCTGCATTCATTCATTAAGGTCAAGATTTAGCTTAGCTATCATTAGGCTTTCTTCGAGGTGGACATATACATATACTTGGGAACATATTATAAATATCGTCAATATAAAATGGATTGTACCCCGGCTAATACACTGTCTGAGATGACATCAATTGCTGCAAGCACACCCCTGTTGATCAAAGAAACGAATGTGACGAAAGTTAACCAAGGCAATAAGAGCACAAAGAGACGGAATCTTCTAAGAAATCACGAGATAGAGCATTATTTTGACGACTGTTAGGTTTCCCTATCCGAAAAAGTTTTACAAAGTTCAAACACACTTGAGCAAACGAAGGTCAAAGAGACATTAAATTATAATTACCATTCTTAAGTCATAACTCTGTATTTTAAAACTGATCAAAACAGTTTAGAATTTTCCCAAGTGACACCCTAACCATACTATACTAAACAACTTTACACGAAGTAACAGAAAGCTCGAACTTAAAGAGAACTGACGGCTATGAATGAGTATGGAAGACTTACGTTAATGATTTTCCATGGAAAAAAATTGGCGGGGCAATGGCCGCAACGATGCAGAAGCCAATGTGAATCTGTAAAGAGCCAAGGTTAATCATATGGGAAAAAGGAATCTAAATCTGTCTGCTTATAGGTAAGTATAAATTTAGATATGACAAGTTAGTATGACTCACCAAGTAGGTGAAGAAAAACCAACCAAACTTCAAAGCGCTGTCAGTCCTACAAGGTCGTAAAAAGTATAGAAATTATACGAACTGTCTTGTTTAATAAGCAATTGTAATAAAACCATCGGAATAAGAACTAGTTAGAAGGAGAATTACCTCATGGCTCGGTAGAGAGGCCTGTACCATACAACATAAGAAAGTGGACATCCCATCAACGCATATATTGTGGCAAGGAAAAAGATCTTTACGCCTATCATTAATATTTCAAAACCAGCATTAGTTCAACTTCCATCCAAATCAAAACAAAACTTCATAAGAACAGTTAACATTAGAAGATAAAACTTAGTAGTATAGTGTCAAGCTCACCTCCGCCTTTAATCCAGCAGACCATGGTTGCAATCACATTGAATACAAGACACAGAACGATACCTTAAAACCAGAAGTACAATAAAAGCAGCCGTCAATTCAACACTCTAGCGATATTCCACGTAAATAGGCAAACTGGAGACTTACCTAACCAACTAGCAAAAGCCAGATACTGCAGTTTTTGAGCATGAACTGGTATCTCATTAGCGATGTCATGGTGTATGATTGGAAAAAACGGCGGCCAGTTTTTCTCATCTATCTGAACACCAGCTGTAACATTATTTTTAGGATTATGGTAAGTTATTGTCCAAGACGAAAGACACACAAAACTAATACAAATAATGTGATCAAGTTGTTGTTGGTTTACATTTAGCAATAGCATCCTCTCTCCGTTTAATATCCTGAGTAAGCGAGAGAGAACAATATAAAGAAATATCAATAGAATCACAGCGAAGATTAGTATAATTGAAAAAGTTCATATACATATACCATTTCTTTCTTCCTAAGCTCAGCTTCCCAGTCAGCAAGCTTTCTCTGTTTCTGTGAAGAGTCCTGGACCAATTAAACACACGAAGGTAAGATAAACTTTAAAGTGAGAAGAGGATGCTGAGTCTAGAGATATTACATTCATGTTATCCAAGGGAATATCAACAGTAGCATCGAGGCTTTGACCAAATCCAACTGGCCTAGATACAGCAGGAACCCGTCCACCGCCTTTCTGTTACAAATCAATCAAAGTTTACAACAATCAGTAACCTAGAGGATGAGTCTCCCAACACTAGCAGTTTCTCGGAAAATCCAAACCTGGTTACTAGATCTAACGATACAGTCTAGTTCGATAATCTCAATGACTACACTCCAAACTAGATTAAACTGCTGGGCTGGCTACACCTCGGAAAATCAAAGACTAGTTCCCAGATCTAAGGATACAATCAGAGATCCATAACCTCAAAACTATTAAAATCAAATTTTAAGAAGAAAGGAGCATTGGTAATCAAGTTGATATCACACAGCTTCTCCACTTAATAAGAAACTAACTTCATGAAACTCGAGTTAAGTGAGAGATTTAGATTCATCTGCCGTCTCACGAACTCCAAAAAACCTAGGAACAGAATGTGGAGATTCAGAGAAAAGCGTTACAGAGAAGGGATTGACGATTTCTTCTTCCTCCTCATCGAAAGGGTTGGGGTCGTGGTGGCGATTCATTGTTGATTGCAGATCCCTAGATTCACGAACTCGAATCTTATTCTCCGATAAGATTGCCGCAGAAGAGAGAGAGAGAAAGTAAGGACACCGACTGTGTAGCAAACTTGGTATGGATGGACACTCTTTTTTTCTCTTTTCTCACGCGGAAAGCGGGATTCGGAATCGTTGTATTTACGAAATTACCCCCACTTAGTAAATGGGCCGTCTAGTTAATTGGGTTTAGACTTCAAGGTGGACCTAACTCATTAACAAGTAGTATTGTATTGTGTTTAAGGCTCTTAATATTGCAGACTTTCGCGTAAACATTTTGGTCGTAGAAAATCCCCCTATACATTAAAACCTATACATTAAAAGATAAGTCAATTTAGTGATTTCTAAATAGGTGACACTTATAGAGAGCTTCTAGGATCAATTCTCTTAATTTTATTGGTTCTTTTTTAGTAATTTTTTTTTATTCAGCGTCCAAAAGTAACTTGAGAACAATTTTATCGACGTTTCCAAACACTCCAAAGCAATACAGTAAATCTCGTAGGGAGATCAGAGATTCTCGCGTGGATCAACTCCACTCTCCATCTAAACCTCTCCAAAACTTTCTCTTCTCTTCTAGAAACCTAGCTTTAGATTCAGATCGAGATTGCGTTTGATTTGGGGATCTTCTTAAGGTTTTTTTTCTAGTGAATATGATACGACGACTCCAATGAATGGCGATACCTTTAGGACTTTACTCCAGCATTAGCTCCCTTGCTCTTGTAATTTCATCTCTCTCTCTCTCTTCTGATTCGTTTTTTTATAAGTTTGTGTGTGATTCATCTGAGTCTTCTTTTGATCAGGTGGCTCGTTCTTCAGCTTTTAGCGTGGGTCTCCTCTACGGGAGCATGAAGCACAAGTTCTTGAAGGTAATCTCACTTTCGAATTTCTGATTAGTAGTGCTCGTATCTGCTAATTGAATCTGCAATACAGTACATTTTGATGATTTGTGACGTTTTTTGAATTGGTAGCGACATGATATTTCGAAAGTTACAAACTTTGATCATAGTTCGTGTGAAAGATAATTTTTTTTTTTGTTAAATAGGGTTTGATTCTTAGTGTGTCTTGCTGTGTTTCCACCACTTTACAGCTCTCTCTCGAGCTATAGATAACATATATCTTGAATTATCGCTTTTTATGGATGTTACTTCTCAAAAGGTTTGTGATTTTGTGATTGTGGGTGTCTTTTGTAAACCTAAAGAGTGTCTTTTGTAAACATAAAGAAGATCTTTTGTAAACCTAAAGAAGATCTTTTTCTTCATATATGTTCTCTAGCTTATGCAACAACATGTTGCAAAAGGTTTACTCTTGTTGTTGCATTGTGTTGTTTGCTCATCTTGCTTGGGATGTTGCATTTGTTTTGTTAGGCTTATCGTTCTGGAATTGAATTTGGACGAATCCTTCTTTGTATTGCTTTGTTGTTCTCGAATCTGAATCAATAGAGTTCACTGCAGCATGCTTATGTGGAACCTTTCAGAGTCAACAAAGCTGGTTATTCTCCAAAGGGTGTTATGGTTTAAAGGTTTCTCATCCGGGTAAAGGAGCTTTGTATATAAGGCCTCTGCTAATAGGGAGTGGCACTATCCTTGGAGTAGCTCCAGCACCTGTACACACGTTCCACATTTACTTATCTCTTGTAGTATATTAGCATAAAGTGAGCTTGTGTTCTGTTGCTGTTATGAATACTCAATGAAGTAAACTCTGCCTAAAAAATCTTTTTGTTGGTTTGTCTTGTAGGTAAGCTCAAGTCTGAACTCATTGATGCTGCAGTGATCCCATAAGTCTTTTGTACCTGAAAAAAATATATAAACGTCATATAACATTTTGTTTCTAATTAGTTTACGTCATAAACCTCAATTAACCCATAAACCCACAAAGATCCATATTTGTAGCCCATAAACCTTACATATGGATCTTATTAGCTCTATTTAAATATAATATATCCATATAACATAATGTTTCTAATTAGTTAATATGGTTATTAATAACTTACCTTATTATCGAATAACTTATCTTATGTAAAATAAGGATTACTTGCGCAAATATCAAATATATTTATTGCAAGTTGCTTTAAGTCGACATAATTTTGCTAAACACATATGGCATATAAGGGTGGTGGTCATGTGATCTAACACGACAAACAAAACTTCTAAATCTAAACACTGTAATTTTATTCTTTTAGATATTATATGGCAATGGTTCAAGCTACCAAAAATCGAGTGTCTTTTATCAGGAAATTGAGACCGTGTAAAAATACATGGCGTATTGAGGTTAGGATTCTTCGTTTATGGAGAAACTACAACAGAGATTCCGAAAACACCATTGAAATGGTTTTTGCCGATACAGAAGTAAGTACATTACTTGAGCCATTTACACGGTCGTGTTCTAAATCTTATTTTCTCAATCCAACTAATTTAACTTGATCTCATCACCGTGTAGGTGACAAGAATTCATGCTCAAGTTGGTGAACAGCTCATAAAACAATTTGAAGGGAAACTAACAGAGGGCGATGAGAAGGTCATCCAGTTATTCAAACTGTACGATGCTATGGTGATTATCGAACCACCGCGCATCCCTACAAAATTGGATTCTTTCAAACTACTTTTGTTGGAACAGAGGATGACTTCCCAAGTGAAGTTCCGGAGAAGTATCTTGTGGATTACAGTGATACAATTGATGGAAAGCTTGATAACAGTCGTTTGGTTGGTGAGTCAATTCATTCGATTACTTCAGTTTCTGTGTTTTTTTCGTATGCAACTATTTAACTGGGATTTTAATTTCTTCTTAACTTTATTATGTAGATGTTATTGGCCAAATAGTTAACTTCGGATCTCTTGAAAACAAAGCCATCAAAGGAAAAGATAATATGAGGCTATTGATTGAGTTACGTGACCAAAAGTAAGTTTAAATACTTTGCCTTTTCCTTTAATCTATTTGCTGAGCTTTGAATAATCGATCCATTAACCTAATTTTATATTATATACAGTGATGTCAAGCTGATATGTACTCTTTGGGGCTGTTATGCTAAACAAGTATATGATTACAATATGTTAAACATGTCCACAATGATTATTTGTCTTATCAGGTTCTTTTCTATTAAAGAGTGGAAAGGTATAGTTTCTCCACCTATATTTTTTAAATGATTCATCTCATAACATGTTGAAAAGCTCGTGCTATTGTAGGTGCTTACTCCATATCTAGCGGGTATAATTCAACTCATATTATGATCAACCCAACTCATATTATGATCAACCCAACTCATATTATGAACAACATACTCAAACATTTTTGTCTAATCGCTTACTTTATTGTGAAGTCTCCCTAATGATTCACTTGCTCTTACAAATAACGATAGTAGCCAATGGTCTGTTGGTAGTGCTACATCTGTTCGTGCTAGGTTTTTGTGACTAATGAGAGGCTAAACATAAGAGAGATCATTCATAGTAGGGGTGGGCGTTCGGGTACCCGTTCGGGTTCGGATCGGGTATTTCGGGTTTTCGGGTATTTCGGTATTGGGGTTTAGAACCCGTTCGGGTATTTTTACAAATCGGGTCGGGTTCGGATATTTTTAGTTCGGGTTCGGTTATTTTGGGTCGGGTTCGGATATTTAGATTTTGAAAGAAAATTTTTAAATTCTTAATTACTTAAGTTTCATGTATTTAAAATTTAACTATTAACTTAACTGTTTTTTAAATGTTTAATAAGTTAGACGATTAATAAGTTTGAAAATAAATTATTGAAAATAAAAATCATTATTTTGGTTATTATTTTCAAATTTTGGATGCAAATTTTGTTTAAAGTATGAAATAAGAAGCTTAACATGCATTTTAAATGAGTAACAAATCAATTTTTTTACAATTATATGTATATTATCTGATATGAAACTATATATAACATTAATATAAATAATTTTAATAAAATGAGACAAAATAAACTAGGAATAAATAGGTATATATAAATATGTTCGGTTATCTTCGGTTACCCGTTCGGGTTCGGGTATTACCCGTTCGGGTTCGGATATCCAAACTCTCCTAACTCAATACCCGTTCGGGTATTTTGCTACTTCGGTTCGGATTTTGGTTCGGATATTTCGGGTCGGGTTCGGGTATGAGTTCGGGTATCGGATAAAGTGCCCACCCCTAATTCATAGTGATCTGGTATATATAATAAACCCAGCTCAGAATAATTATTTTTACATTTAATAGTTCAATTCTTATTAACTTGACTTGACATATTTGCATTTTGTAAGGTTGGTACTTTTGTCACTCTTGTCACTATTGAAAACATAGATGCTGATCGTGGGTGGCAATATCTAAGCTGCAAATACCACAACAAAAAAGTCGGATTTTGAATGAAAGTATCTTCTTAAACACACTAATTATTTTGGGACTTTGCAATTATACATACACACAATAACGGCCTCTTGATACTGGCGTTACTTTGTACCCTCTCGTCCAATGTCAATTATTGAGTACCGGTTTTTCTCCATGGCTAAAGTTTTCTCCAAACGACGATAGTATGATGATGTACAATCCGTTACTTCTAAAGCTATACACTATTATAATAATTTTTTGAACTTTCTTATGCCCGCACAGGGTGCGGGATGGTCACCTAGTTTGACTTTAAAAACTATAGGGATTAATTTAATTTTCTTACAAAATTTACTAGCACTAAAAAAATATAGAAACTAGGACTATTATCACAAATAAAAAAAATCATCTAAATAAATAAAATATATAATTACTATGTAAAATATAATTATTAAACATTTAAACCTTTCTTAATCGATATATAAAACTATAAAGCATTATAAAATGGATTTCAAAATAAAAAGAAAAAAGTATTATACATTAATCAGTCATATTTTTATTTAATAAAATTAATCTAGGATAGAAAATAAGTTTGAAATAATTTAGGGAAGAAAAAATTAATAATCATTTTAAAAGTAAAAAGTAATAACCATATGAAAGATGAGTAAAAACATGGAAAGGAAGCTTTAGCCAAAAAAAAATGAAAAATATAATTGAAAGTGATTTTTGAAACTTTAGAAGAACATAAAATCA